AGAGGGGCAGAATCCCCTCCCTCGACCTGCTGGCCACGCTGCTTTTAATGCAGCCCACGATACAATTGGCCTTCTGGGCTGCGAGCGCACATTGCTGGCTCCTGTCCAGCTTTTCATCCACCAGTACCCCCAAGTCCTTCTCGGCAGGGCTGCTCTCAATCCCTTCATCCCCAGCCTGGATTGGTACCGGGGATTGCCCCGACCCAGGTGCAGGACCTTGCACTTGGCCTTGTTGAACCTCATGAGGTTCACACGGGCCCACTTCTCAAGCTTGTCCAGGTCCCTCTGGATGGCATCCCGTCCCTCTGGCATGTCGACCACACCACTCAGCTTGGTGTCATCTGCAAACTTGCTGAGGGTGCACTCGATCCCACTGTCTATGTCATTGATGAAGATATTAAACAGTACTGGTCCCAATACGGACCCCTGTGGGACGCCACTCATCACCAGTCTCCATCTGGATGCATTTATTCACTCTGTGTAGAGGTAGCTTAAGAATTCTACAGTCACTAGTCATAAATTCTCAGGTTTTCTGATCTGAGATATCATTTCCTAAATGTTATCATCAGCCTGATCATGGTGTTAGTACCATCACAGTATTTCAACCCACAAGCATTCTACAATGAATCTCTTTCCTATGATATATTTCTTCTATTACAGTTCATATAGTCCTTCATGTACAGTGTCACTCCCCCATCCGTATGTCCCACCCTATCATTCCTGTAAAGTGGGTAGCATGGCAGAACTACCATTGATTATCTTCATCCCACTGCATCCCCAAGGTGCCCGTTTGATCAGGATTGCCATTTGATGCCAAGTGTTCTGACTCCCTCATGCCATATTTAGACTTCTAGTGTTGGTGTAAAAAGCACTTGCGAGTGCTGCCCTTGCTCTGTCACTCAGTATTGGCATTGGAGGCAGTTTGATTTTTTCTGTTCATTGTGATTGTGCTATTTATTTCCATTCTGTCCTTTTCAGAGGCCCAATGAGTATTAGCCATGTCCCTTCTGAGGAGTGTGCCAGCTGTAAAAAGAGAATTTTCCATGCCTGTCAGCTCCCTCAGCCCTGGTTTCCTGCACCAGCAAACTGGATTTGTTTCTGTTAAGGTATAGTCCATCCGTCCTTTACAGGTTACTCCTGGTCTCCTGGTCTTGAGGAGAAATCCCTCCTTTCTACCCCAAGATTCACCCACACACTGGCACTCAGGACTTCTACCTGTCCCCAGGATCTCTCCCAGGAAACTAGAAGTATTCAGAAAAAGTCAGGATAGAGGTCTTGGACTTCAGCCTTGCTCTTAACAGCCAGATCTTATCCTACAGCTTACCTTCCTACCCTTCCCTACCATTTGGTACCAGCATACCTACACACCTGCGGGCCCATTCTTGCACCCTTAAGTACCCCCCCTAGGCATCAAGCTTCACTACCTTGGTGCCTAGCAAGCAAGTTGCCACGCTGTCCCCTCGGCTGCCACAAACCCAGCTGTTTGTTTCCAGTAATAAACCCACTACCACCACTTTCTCTTCCTGTCCTTGAAGGTCCCCTTTCCCAATGGATTGTATTTGGTGCAAGAGGACACTAATGTGAGCTGGAAGGCAAATCTCATCAAGGACAGTAGATCTTTCCTTCCACCAGGATTCCTGTCTTCCTGGAGAAATTGCTAAAAAGCCTGACCAGACCAAAGGTGCACAGGGGACCGGTGAGAGAGCATCTGTATCCATGCTACGATTAACAAACAACCAGTATAAACCACCCATCATCAACGGAGTTGACTCTCTTCAAATAATGGCTTCTGTATAGGCTTTTCTGTTCAGATGGATACACAATGGTGGTTCTCTCCAGCGTTCAATGTTCCTAATGTGCACTGCTCAACAGCACATGTGGTCTACCCCAGACATGGCTGCATTTCACTGACACAGTACATGCAAAGTGCCATTTGACTGATCTTTTATTAAATGGTCTTCCTGTGACCATCGTCCTTGATATACTGCCATTGCAGAGCAGTCTTCTCAGGTTTGTCTTTTTTTTTAAACGCAACTATAGATTTTATGGAAGTTATCCTGGCAAATAAAACAAGAAATAATAGTAAATGGGCTTCACAGTCAGACTGTGCAATGAAAAGATGTTCTTGCACTTTTAAAGTGTTTTAATGGTATGGACCTTTTTTTTTTTCTTGCTTGAAAGGATTCTGATTTCTCATCTGATAGCAAAGCAATGTTTGATCCTCTCTGTGCATTCATCACCATGGTACCAAAGTGCCTTACAGGGAAATAAAGCAGGTGGTTGGCAGTCTTTTCCTTGAGACTTCCAATAGGAGAAGTGGCCCTTGCAGGATTATGATAGCCTGCCCATGTCAACCTGTTATTATTAGTAGTAGTATTACATTGGCACATATACATCAATGAAACAAACCCAAGGATTTCTGAGCTGCCTGGATGCCATTGCAACAGATGGCTGGGAGTAGGAAAACAGCCCAGAAAGCACTTCTGCGTGCAGTAGTGCTGCTAGTTGAAGACAACCTGAAAGTGTTTGTTCACCTGAGAACATATTCAGATGTTTTAGAGGATGGACCTGTCATTGATAATGTGGCCAGTTCAGTAAAGTACTAAATTTTTGTTGATTTCAGAGATAGGTTTCAAATGTCTTAGGCTAAGCTTGTTACTTAAGGGAGAAATTAGCACAGATATATTTGCAGTCTCCATGAGAGGTTACTCTCCGCCCATCATCAGCAAGGGAGCAAGTTCCTTTGGACTGACAGACGGGCCAGACTCTTCCAGCAACACTTGAAAGTACACATTTATATTCATGAAACTCAATAACAACAGGTCAGAAATGCAACCCCCAACAACGGATAGGAACACTTTTTAATCAAAATTAACTTTTCTAGTTCTCTTTCTCCTTTACCACTCCTCCCACGCACACTTTTTTTTTTTCCCTTCTGCATGCCAGCTTTTCCAGTGGCTTCTGGGGTGCTGTGCAATCAGTACACAGAATTTAAGTAGCTCTTCCCATTCTGCTAATTCCAGTTGACTGCAGATACATGTAACAACAGTGCTCATGCCATTTCATGACCAAAGAGAGGATGCTGTAATGTATTTTCTGAAAGAAGAACACTTACTTTCCACTTTGAGCTCATCTGGCTGAAGATGGACCTTGAGCTTATAAGTATTTTTATTTATCGTTGTCCTGCCCTTTCCATCCTACAGCAATTTCTTTCCTTCCACATTCACTGTGGATAAAGTACCACAAGATTAAATCTAATGATAGTTCAGTTTCCAGAAGGTGGAAACAGCTCAGTTTCCAGCAGAGGGTAGATACGCAGCTCTGGTGGAAACAACAGTCAGAGGGGAAATACACATGTTCATCTGCAAGATATCTTTTTTTAGTTAGGCAACATCAACACAGATGTAAGAGAGCAAATATCCATGGAGAAAGAAAATATCTCGCATGAAATTTACCCTTACAAGTATAAACATGAAATACATCAGACGTTTGAACAACAGATTATATTACTCCCTTACCACTAACATACGTTAAGATGGTAGAAAATCCTTTTTACCTGATCCACTATGAAACATGGGCAAGAGAAGGATTAGAAAAAAAGAAAAGCATCATCTTAAATTTTCAGAGTATTCTTTAAAACCTTGGCACTGTGTCAGGCAGTATGTGGTATATATTACAGATAGCTCAGTTGCACCTCACAAACATATCTTAAAGGTTTGATTTTTCCACATACCATTTAGCAACAGCTGGCATGTTTGGTTTTTTTTCTTTTTTTTCTCCCTTACTAATACAAAGTTCTTGAGTGGGTTGGCTGTGCACTCGCATCTTTCTAAGCAGTTAAGCACCAAACTCTGCTTTTTTTCCCATTTTGAAGAGCTAGACATGAGACACAGTGGAGAACTGAGCTGAGAGAATCAATTTCTGCATCTGATGGGGAGCTGGGTTATGGTGAAATCTGGGGTGGTTCTGTGCAGAGACGAACATCAGCAATATCTCTTCATGAAATGATGCCTCTCCTTTTATGAAAGGAAAGAAAACCCTAGAGCCACGGACACAAAAGTCACTCTGGATCTCGGGACACTGAGAATCAGGCATTTCCATTCTCCCCATGTCCATCAACAAGGACGGTGACCCCGGAGCTGGGCAGAAGAACAGCGGGAAAGCAGAGAGGTTTCTAGCAGAATTCCTGGCAAATTCCAGTGAAATCATGTAACCTACAGAAATTATTTCTATCTGAAAGAATCCGCAAATCTGATGAAAACATGTCTGTTTCTGAGCAGACCTAGCTGGATGGGTTTATGGTCTAACAGCTCTTAACAATCTCCGCTCCCTGCAAATATCTTGTATGTATCTCCTCCTCTTATTAATTTGTCAATAATCTTATTGTTCTTGTTTTAGCTCTGAGGGCACTGTGCAGATGAGGGGAATCAGTCTGAATGTCAGGACTTTCCCAGCCTTAGCTGAGATAAAGACTTACAGGGGAAAAGTGAAGATGGTAAGTTAGCTTCAGTGGGGACACGCAAGCTGGGCACCATTCTTGAATGAGATTCCACTTCAGGTAGAGAAATTGTAAAAAATGGCACTCCAGATCCTGAGGAAGAGTCGCCGAGTAGATTAACCGATCTGAAATACTAGGGAATGAAACTGATGCTTGAAGACGATGGGATGGGGAGAAGAAGGGAGCCTGCTTCAACACCCAAGCTAGGTTCGTTTTGACAGGTGCCAAGCTGGTGAGTAGTAGACACAATCATAAGTACATTTCTAAAGAAGAATTTTAAAAGGCTGATAAACATCACAGTAACGTAAGCTTCCTGGTTACTTAGAAACAGAGCTCAGTGATTCAGAGCCATTCCTTAAACATAACTTTGATTGATACAGTCCCTCCAATGCAGGTAATAGAAGACTGATTCAATCTATCTGACACAGACTATCGGGTGTGCACTTCCCCCCATTCCTCCCCATCATCTCCTTCATTTCCTTCTCTGAATCAATGTATTTGTGAATCTTGGACTGGATCCCAGCCAAGAATATCTGAAAATGCAGTCTCATATTGCCCAAATCTATAAAGAGGAAACTATTCAGACAATTGATGCACCTTAAGGGCAGAACATTAAATTGATCCTTTGGCAAGGAACACCATGTGTAACTTCACACAGCAATTCCCATAAATACTAATAAGATTATCAGCCAAAGCATAGATTATCTAGAGCCCTGGCTTTGTTTTAGGAGCAGCTATGAGGATAAGGGTTTGTACTGTGTGCAAGCACTTGGACTGCCTATATGCTCCCCCCACCCCACCCCCCACCCCAATCTGTGCCTTAAGAAGAGCTCATGACAATGCATCATCATGTATATTTGAGGTGGCTGCATTACTGAAGCGTGGCAAATCATCCAGAGGAGATAGCACTATTAGATAATCAAAAGGCAATGGCTCAGATATTCTGCTGCTCTAAGCAGGTGGAAGGGAAGTAGCTGTTGCTTCCTACACCTCCCATTGTTTTTTTCTAAACGTTGGAAGACCTCAGGGTAAGTTGTGTGGGGTCTTTCTGGGGCAGCCTGAGTCTCGATTCCCTTCCTGCATTTTCTCAGCTGAGCGAGTGGCCCACTTGCCACCACTGTAACACTGGGTGTTCCAGCTCCCCCCTTCTCAGTCCCTAGGTGCTTTCCAATTGATTTGCATTTCTGGATCAGCACTGAAGGGCATAATATATGCAGCTGTGTATACACATGGAGTTGCATATATATTCATATACACACTACAGATCTAAGTTACAGTTTGAAGAACAGTCCTAACTAGGCCATTTTCTGAGTTGCCTGCATAATTCTGCAGAAAGTTACTGTTCCCAAAACCATTTTGCTTGGAATTTAATATATAAACAAGCTTTGAAAAGAGTGTTTTCTATAATTTTTTTTAAGGGAGTCTTAAAAAATCAGCATATATTATTAGCATCCTTTCCTAGAAACCCTTCTGGCTGCCACTATACATGCTTTCATGGAATAAGAGTTTTCTTCTCTGTTTGAGAAACATAAACATGACTATTCAGGTTTTTCAGCATAACATTTCTGACCCTGTATTCTAATGCACATTTTTACCTCTTGGCCTCTCTTTGGAGACTGGTTACCTATTGAGCCATACAGAATTCACTCTAATGAAACATTCTTCATGATCAGTATGAATAAAGTGTTCATTTTTACTCTGGATGCAGGGTACATTTTTGTATACGCCCAGCTATTTTTTCACTCGCTTTTAAGTACTTTATTAGGTAACAATGGCACACAATGTCATCGTCCGTACCAGCCTCCACTGGTATTGAAATGGTCCTCTGATTTTTTAAGTTGCTGTATGGTCCCAAATGATACAATAAACATAGCACTGTCTATTCATGAATGCCTATGGATAAAGGCCCCGCCAATTGGAAAAAACAGCTGAACCCAAAGTTTCAGAGCTAAAAATTGCCATGCGTGTTGTCAGGGCCAAAAATGAAAATTTGAAGGCATGACGTTATTAGGGGCTTGTTTCCACTCTTCTGATGGTGATTTGAGCTTCTTGAAGAAAATCTTTTGGAAAGAGATAGCAACTCTGGCTTCCACATTACCTCCAGTTCCTTACCGTAACAGATGAGACTCATACTGACAGCAGAAACGTGTTCACATGCTTTCCAACGCTGAAACGCAGGGCATCCTTTTGTGAGTGGCTGCCAGGTAGAAGACTTGCATGTTTTCCCATCAGATACCACCTTTTCATTTCAAATAGTAGCTATATAAAAACTTGCCCACCAACACTTGCCATATTAAATAGTAGCTTTCTTTTTCGATTTCTGTGCAAATAAATATTAATGAACTGGACTAATTTAATGGATTAAAAGACACATTCTAAGGATTGCTCAAATCCAGTTTGTGCCCATGTCAGAATATGACAACTTGTTGATCATAATTTTGCCAACTTGTACCCATAAAAAATCAAAACAAGCTTCAAGCAAATATTGCAGATAGAAATTTGCCAGACGCTTACATGAATTGTGGTGGGAAAAATTATGCTCTAAGATGTAAATTCTGCAAATTACAAGTTATTTTAATCTTTTAATCAAAAAAGAGGAATAAAAAAAGTGGGTGCACGCAGCATGTGGCAGATCTACCGTTGCATCACACCAAGGAAAACCTCCATTTTTCTTTCTTTAACTCTTTCCTAACCGAGGGTCTGATATGAAGTTCACAGAAATCAATAGCAGATTTCCCCATGACTTCAGAAGAATCTGTATTAGATCCCTATTCTTCAAATTACCCTGATATCATCTTCATTAAGAAAAATACTTTTCTAATCTCTCAATAAGAGAGAGACTGTGTGGCAGGCCACAGAAGGTCCAAAACCCAATGTTAACTGCTTCTCTCAGCAGTTACATCCAAGCTGGTATATGATGGCGTAGCTCCAGTGAAATTGCTAAGATTCACTGGCTTTTTGACTTTTGGTGGCTTTGAGTACCTTTTGAAAGATTCACAAGGCCTGACTTGAAAAGGGAGCTAAATGGATTTCCTCAGTTCATGTACATCTCTCTAGGGATGCATAAACCACAAGAGATGTAGGGATATGGATCAACTTCAGTGTTGCAACTGAAGTTCTTGTGATCAGGAAATCTAGCTGGCAGATTAAGAAATCTTACAATACAGCCTTTCCGTTTTGAGTAGGTTGGTGACATCTGCATTTTCAAATTCCTGCCTGCATTTGAAATCAGGAATAACATTGCTCTGAAATTCCACCCTCAGAGGGCTATGAGATTTCTCCACATGTACAGCATGAAGGATGATGATGCCTTTCTTATTCAAACTGATTCATCTTTCCTTAACACAAGGCTCTGAAGGAGTTAAAATCTCAGTCTAGTAAAGACTGAGGTCTTGCCAATCTTTTTTTTTTTTCTTTTCTGTAAGGTGCCAGACATAAAAATAAAGGAAATGTATCAGCACACTTCCTTAGAAGCTGAGCTTCCTGATTAAGAATAAATGCAGGACATACACTGTATTTCATGCTGAAATGCATTCCCTGCTAGAATTTCATGAAGACAATTAGCCATTAGCAACACCTGTAAACACAGAGAGGACTCAGACACCAGGAAATAATAGAAACAGCCACATACTGCTAAAATGTGGAGAGAGGGAAAACCACAAAACAAGAGCCAACTGTTGAGTTAGTATTGTCCTGGTGCCGCTCCATTTCTGTCTCTAGTCGGGCTGAGGAGAGTGAATGAGCGAGCGTGTTGTAAAATGCCCAGCAGGAACTACGATGCAGCAGTTTTGTGCTCCTTATCACTGTGCAGCGGTGATGGTTAATCCTGGAATGCTGCATTTCACCAGTTTAGCCCAGGATATCTATGCATCACTGCTTTTTAGGAGTGCCTCAAACATCCATGAATTAGAATGACTTCAGTGACAGGAAATCCTTTTATTTTTTTGATGTCCAAGTGCTACAAATACCGGTGACAAGCCTGAGCACTCAAGTGTGAAACTTAATCTGAAGGTTCCCTACATTTGGTGCTGCTTGGGGCCACCTCAGCATACAGGAACCTTTCCTGTCTGTTTCTTTTGTGATTTCTTTTCCCTTGCAACATTTTCCTTGTTGGGCATAGGAAAGACTTCTATTGGATTGGCAAGTGAAGCATTTGCACATGTGCCTGGTTCTGAGCTTCCCTCACCTGTTGCCTGCAGTAAAATAGAAATTTTTACTCTCTTTACAGAATCTTTACATCTATGGCGTACAGAGAACCTGGCTGCTACCAGGTTTAAGACATAGGTTTAGGCAATGGAGCGTGCTTCAGCTTTCTTCAGTGCTTGGGGTTAGCTTGGGGTTACCTGAATCTGGTGCTTTGAGGAAAGTCTTCTCTAGGTACTTTCTACTTTCTGTTGAGTGAATTGCAATGTTTTCCATTTTAATGTGTAATACAACTAAACACTGTATCTTCCAACAGTACTTCCAGGTATTTCTGACACCCTGGTGATAAGCCAGCTTATATGATGTTAGGGCTAAAATGAGTAGAAACACACTGGGTTTGTGTCTCTGATGGCTGGATTTGTGAGGTAGCATCATAGCTTGGACTGAGTACGGTAAAAGGAAAGATAGGAAGATTGATGCCCAGAAGCTGATGTGAAGCATCCACTGCTTATTTCAGGTTCAAAGGGGATAGTTTCAGAGGACTTTCTGATGCACAAATAAAGACCGGTCTTCAAAGATCTACAACCCTCCCTCCCTAAACTACAAAGAAACATCTCCCCATGTACTTACGATTTTTTTTTTAAATCGGGAATTAATTTTATTGTCCGTGTTTTAGTGCTACAGCTGGTTCTTATGGCTGAGGATTTTTTTTCATCTCCCACTGAATCTAATTTCCTCAAAACTGAAACAAATAATATAATTCTCTCCATGATCATGCTGCAATGCTGTTGTCATATTTATTTTAACCTTCTCTTGAACAAGCCATATTAAATAGTGAATATTGTAAGGTTATT